TTAAAAAAAAAAAAAAAAAAAAAAAAAAAAAAAACTATTCATCGTAATATCTGGAATTTGTAAATATAGTATATAGTATACACATTGTAGAAGCAACTTCCCACAAAAGATATACATATACACGTGTTTCTCGTTACCTGCAATAAAAAACGTATACATGCATATACCTAAGATCCACTTTGATGTATTAGTATTCAAACTATATAAAGCAAGAAACCTAACCGTAAGAAAATGCAAACACAACATTATATTTTGGGTATTTGGCATATCACAGTACACAGCTCGTATATATTCAGTTAAAACTAGAGGTAATTAACTCATAATTAATTAACGCATATAGAGTTTAATAAAAATAATATTAAAAAGGCGAATTATAATGATACAGTGTCTATGTTTCTGTTGACCCTAAACCCCATCCTCATGTTTATTTCCTTCCTCAACAAAGCAAATACCAAAAGGCGAATTGCTAAAAGCAGAAATAGTTCTCACCAATTTTTCAAAATATATAAATATTGAAATTTTAGTGGCTTTTAATTAGTGTTCTTTTCCGTTACTCCTCCAATATTTTTAGTACTTCTTTTATTCTTCTTTATCTAAGCACACTCGAGTTCCCAAACTTTCCTTCCATGTTGAGGTGAAGAGTGAAGACCCTGGAGTTTTTTAGAACAGAAGACCATGAAGTTACTTACTAGAATACATTAAAATCCTCTACACAAGGCACTACTCTTCTAAGCATTCATGTTGGACACTAAAATTGAGGATGATATATAAGACATGCCTGTTTATCTTTTGAGAAAAGGCACAACAATTACAAAACTTGTTTCTATTTGGTCGTGAGGCTTGACTTGTTTTACCACGGTAAAATAGGAAATGAACTAATCATTGAAGTTTTATTCGTAAATAATTTTATGAAATATATATATGTTATATATTATTTATCTCACACATTAGGTGTTTACGATCTACGGACCCATAGTGCCATACAAAGAAGAAACATTACTTTCACAAAAATATTCTCATTAACATGTGATGAAAGCGAAGTCATCATAATCCAATATCTGCCCCTTCCCCTATTCTATTATTAGTATCACTATTTTAATTTTCAACATTTGACACGTCTTCATACCCATTAGTTGTTATGATTCTAATGTGCATCAAAATTAAACGGAATATATAAAACTCCTTTGTTAGTGGATAAGAGTTGTGAGAATTTTGACAAGTATAATTTTGTCGCATCAACCTGTGTCCTGGGGGTTAATGTTAATTAACTATAATGGTAATGACGCTTTAGATCACGTATGTGGGGGAAATCCATATATATACAAGAAAAATAAAAGATATGAAAACATAATCCATAAAACTCAGTTTCCCAATAAACAAGTTTAACATATCTATTATTCACTACAGATTACAGAAAATGATAATTCTATTTAAAACATTATGATTTTGTAAGTTAACGGTTTGTAATCCTGCATGTTTAAGGTTTTTAAATATGATTAGAGGTATTCCATGGCTAGTACGAGACATTCCAGTTGTATATTATTTTGTTTTTGTAAAGCTAAACACAATGTGATGGTATTGGGTGTATAATAAGGTTAAGAGGCACCAAACATTCAAACTGATAATAGATGAGTGGGATGAAGATGTGTGATTTGACAAATCACGAGACACACGAAATACCATATCTTAGAAATCCACGTGTGAAGTGACAGTTTTCAGCTTCTGTCCAAAAGTTTAGATGGCCTCTCTCTTCGTCTTCTTTGTCCCTATCGTTTTGTAATTTAGTTATCATTCTCATAATTTGTACTTTGATTGTGACCCGTACACATAATTCCATTATTACATCTCATTTTTTTTGTTCGTAGTTAACGTTAAATCTTCTTACGTATCAATATCCTTGTTATAGATTCCCAAAGCAGAGCTGTCTTTCCCACATTCTTTTTTAACTTGGAAAATGATAGAGATTTGAGTTTTAGTCCCTTCAAAGGGGAGCCTGCTTCGCACAATATTGTTATTTTTTTTTATATATAAAGCTGAATTAGTAGTGTCATCCATCATGCGCTATGGGGTGTGCTGTGAAATTGCAAGTGGACAACTAACCACAAAATCTCAAAGCATAAGCAAGCAAAGGAGAAAGGTGGCCAATAGTTTTAATTTTGGATTTGTATTTCATAAATTATTTAATTAACTCATCCTATAAAACTACTCGACAAGAAATGGTAGGGGAAGTAGCGGTCAAAGGGTCAAAACTGTTTATGGAAGACGGTGAAAAAGAGGAGATGATAGCACACGTGTGGTATATTGTAACAAAGAGGTTCTCTGCAAAATTCTTGAGAATGTGAAATAAAGAAAAATAAAATCTAATTATTCTTTCCATCTTACATTTCCCAAGGTCTGAAAAATTATGCTGTGTGTGTGTGCTGCCTCTTTCCACTCGTGTGGGCCTTTGCTTCTCTTTCACTTGTCAGACCTCCCCACGTGCGCTTCTCTCCTCTCCATCCATTTCTTTCAGTATTATTCCCCTTTTTATTCTTGACAGCAATATTGATATTTGGATAAAATTCTTTATATAATAATCTGAATTGATAATTATATAATATTTCGAATGAAATGTTTTAGATTTTATATAATTTTGATTTCTTAAATATTATTTTCTACAAGTGATAATATATATTTTATAATCTATATGTATTAAATAATTTTTGATATGATATTTTTAAATACAATAGTTAATAGTTTACTATTGAGTATTCTTATTTTATCTTGTAAATCGTTAATTGTATCATCAAAAACTTTAAAATATAACCCATACATTTGAACAAATGTATATTTATTTTTATGAATCAAGATTTTATGATAATTTATAATAAAATTGTTTATTATTTAAAATATAGTGTTATATGTTTTATACTCTTCAATATTTGTCATACTAAATTTACATTGAAATATTATTTATATAAAAACTATATTTTAAAAATATATTTTTATATTAATTTATATTTAATATATATTCTATAAATTTTTTTTTTAATTTAGGTATGTTTTATGGTTGTTTAATTTTGTAAAAGATCATAATTCTTAAAATTCAGGAGTAGGTAATTTTTAGTGGCAGTAAAGTGTAATTAAGTAGTTGCTTAATTTAGGAAATGATTTACTAAATCAGTAAAAAAAAAAATTGTTGTTAGGTTTATTAAATATTTCAATGGTATTTCATTGTAAATAAATGGTACATCTTATGGTGATTTCTTATTTGTATTTTTTTAATAATAAAGATATATCACACTGTGTTTACTTTATTTCTAAATCTCACACATCCATAAATAATTCAGTACAAGTAAAAAAAAAAATTCTCATGCAATAGAGGGAATGTGAACATAGCAAACAGCTGTAAAGCTTGAAGAGATACAACAGTGTACACAAGAATTCTCATGCAGACAACAACTGAAACATGACAAACGCTCGGAATGCTATCATTACAAACAATTTCTTTAGTTTTTGAGATAAATAAATGGTAATAAGTTCAACGGAGTTGTATATCAAGCCTTTACCTGAGTTCATACACCATTCTCTCCGCCAGCTCCTCCCCCACAACCTTGCGGTAGCTTTGTAACATAGGCTCCAATTGCTTCCGGCCTACAGGATTCAGCATTTTCCGTAGATCCTTCCAAATCCAACGTTTTGTTTTGTTGTCAACATGTGAGTTTGATAATGGTAAACACTGATGACACCCAATTAGCTTTAACAATGATCTAAAACGAAATGGAGTTTCCTTTACCTTGTATCTATATTGCGTTCCATAAAGACCAATAATGATATTGTCTATAATATCTGACTCAATGTAAGTGTCTTCTGATTCACTTTCATCCATTTCTTCATCCTCATCATCATCACTTCCGCCCATAAAATGGTCATTCGTCTCCCCTTGTTCCATCTCTTCATGTTCACTTGTCCCGAGAGTTTCAGAAGCATGAGGTTGTGAAGAACATTGGCTTTGTGATTCCTTGATATCAGACAAGATGACATATGGCTTTTTATCAAGCAATGGCCTCGCTACATCATATGGAACCCACCTGAAAACACAACTTTGAGTGTTATTTTTTTTTAAATTACCAGAAGGTTCGGATCCGAGTAGTTTTGTCCCAGCAGTCACTTAAACTGGGGACCTCTGACACAATGGCTTAGTAACTACGAGTCATGCTTTCATTAAATACATAACCAGAGGACATACAAATAAATCAATTTCACAAGTATCAAACTCAGTGACTCACATAGTTTATCTTTCTTAATTATAGTTGAAGAGCTAAGTAACAAAAAAGTAGGTCTAGGTTTGGTGGTAACTTACTGGAAACGGAGAGGACATAGAAGCTCGGATGGACGGTAAGCTGCTTTATATCTCATCTTGCTACAAGAATGTATATAAAAGCCAAGATAGTAATACTCAAGAGTAGGGCAGTGAACTTGGTTCTCTCTGACCCAGTTAATCTCTTGTATTGCAGAATATTTCCCAAGCGATAAGAATGCATAATCTGGATCCCAGAATAAGTATACACTTGACAAACATTTAGGCAGAATATCAACAACCCCAACAGCTACTAAACGGCCATCAACTCTATATTGTTGGTGGAAAGAGCCGAAGCCACAAGGAGGAACAAGAACCTTCTCGTCATTTCCTGAAGGTTGAACATATATTAAAGGAGAGTCTACCAAAAACCTTTTGTATGAATGTTCTACTACGTGGCTTGGGTTGTCGTTGTGCACTTTGAGCTGATAACGTTTGTATAACTCATGTTCTTCAGGGTCGAAACTAGACCTTTTCAAACGCATCTCCAGCTTTAGCTTTCTTACCTTATGGTTTTCTGAGTCTTTCTTAGCTCCTCTTGAGATGTTATCATTAGGAACAACATCCTTTTCAGAGAAAGAATCTTGGGAAGCTGAAAGAAAATTGATATGGCCTTTAGAGACCTTAATAGATATGCCTGGAGTTTCCCCCACCTTACTCATCGCAGTTAACAACATCTCAGAGATAATTTCTGGTGATAACTTGTTTCCATTCATCTCCACTTTCTCAGATGACAGTGTGCGTTTTATTGCAGCTGCTAATGGAAATGCAACGTTGCTTGTATATAAGAGTTGTTCAGGCCCTTTAGATAGTTTCTTCCTTTTATCAAAGAAAACTTTCTTCACTGAAGCTTTAGGTATCTGCATATTAGAAGGGAATTCACCGCTCTGTATGCATATTTGCACAGCCTGATCAATCATTTTAGACAAATCATCCATAACTGGTTCAACGTTATTCTTTTCTTCACTTCTAGCAGTTCCAAAGGTTTTTCTCCCTGAATCTGACACTTGATGAGAGGAAGAAGCATCTGTTTGTTCCCTGGACTGCACATCTAGTTTGCCATCCAAGAACCTTTTGACAAAAAACATTGAGAGGAACAGTTAAAGAAAAAGTCAAGAAGTTTGATGATCTTGAAGAAAACAGAGTTACACATCACTATCATAGACACTTAAGATAGAATTAACAATTCTAAAACTTCCATGTATTGATCCAAAAGAAAGAGAAAAGAGAAGAGTGAATCTATACGCACCTCTCTAGTCTCCTAGACACTCGCTGCTGCTCTTTAGAAGGAACAAAATCACTTGCTTTCAAGCGAATCGTATAAGAAGGACAACAAGTTTTATCCATCTCCTGTTTATAAAGATAACAACCAGATCGTCTCCAGCCTCGGTCAATAAGAGCTGCAGAACACAAAATAAAAATAAACAGATAAATAAATATAATCTTTCACTTCAATCATATAACTAACTTCAACAATATACTTTTTTTTTTTTACAAAAAAAATAAATAAATGTGTTTCATCACAGAGTCAGCATCAGCAACAGACCTTGGTAGTCACTAACGGTAAGAGTCTCTGCTGATAAACCTGCATTGGCAAATGCAAAAAAAAAAAAAACATTCAGTTAAGTAACATTGAAACATATTTAGTAACACTTCCGACACAATCGTACAGTTACTTGTAATAAAAACCATCAGTTCCTGAAATTTTTGTCATAAAGTCAAAGATCCTAATCCAATCATTTTCGATTCAAAATTCAAACAAAATACTCTACCAACATCTAGCAATACATAAATTAAACGAACCGTGAGAGATACTGGAGCGAGCTGGGGATTTACAGTAGCCGCAAGTGCCTCTCCGGCGACCATGATCAACGATCACGCTTTCTCCTCCGCCTACGACGTCACGGCTGCTACTCGCGTCGTTTGTTGAATTCATCTTCTTCGAAGACATACACTACTCGGCGAGATTCAGAAGAAAGTCGTTAGCTCCTTCCGATTACAGAAGAAGAAGAAGGATCAATACCTCAGCTAATTGACTTTAAATTTAGTTATATTTTAACTAACTTATCTGGGCTTTTCATGGGCCGGGAAAAAAGATCTTAACAATTTCTGGGCTTTATATTTAAGTTTTGGGCTCCGGCATGAGAATTTCGATCTCGGATTTCTTTTTCATCTGACTTTACATTTTTTTTTTCAATATAAAAGTAATTTCTACTAACCTATCTGGGCTTTTTATTATAATATAATGGGCCGACAAGAAAAAAAGAACTTTACCATATGTTCTGTCCTAAGGGCAGCATTAACCCAAGCAATTCTCTAGGTTGCTTATTTCTCTTATATTTTATTTTTTTCATTTTTTTTTGTGCCTAAAAAAAAAAAAAAAAAAAATTTAAACAAAGGACCAATCGCGGGCCGCCACGTGTCAGTGGGGCCCGCGAAACAGAGCAAACAACGACGCTTAATCAGGCAATGAAGACCACCGTTGTTAGTTTTTTGTGGACCCCCAGCGACTATTTAATTACTTTTTTTTAAGCCACTTTCCATAAGCACCTGTGGTTAATGCTGGGTTTTGAACTCTCTAGTTTTTGTTCTCATTAGGGTTTTGAGCTCTGCGGCCATGAGTGCACTGCTGCAAAAGGTCTCGAAGTATCGCCTTGACGCCGGTGAAAACTCACCGCATATCCCAGATGATCTCATATTCGAGATACTCTTGAGATTGCCTGTTAAATGTATAGCCAGGATTCGATGCGTATCGAAACACTGGGCTTCCATAATAGATCGTCAAGATTTCAGGGATCACTACATGAAAAGATCATCAGCTCGTCCTAAACACTTGTTCGCCTTCCAAGAAAAAAGCGGCAAGGTATTCTTCTTTTCCGCACCTCAGAATCAAGAAGATAACAACTCGTCTACGATAACCGCCAGTTATCATATGAGTCTCCCTGACGCTGATGTCGAAAACATATATAGTCCTATCAATGGTTTGGTATGTATTAGAGATGAATATATTTTAAAAGGGATGGAAACTCCAGTGACGGCGTGGGTGATATGTAACCCTAGCACCGGACAGTCCTTTACTTTACCTAGAATGAATACAATGCACATGAATTCTGGTGTGAGAAGCTTTTTTGGGTATGATCCGATCGAGAAGCAGTTCAAGATTTTGGCAATGACATTTGCACGTGGCAGAGGATATTGGGCGCCTCGTCACCACATCTCTAAGGAGCACCAAGTTCTGACGTTAAAAGCTGGGAAACTCTCATGGAGAATGATTAAATGTGACGTGCCTCATTTACCTCTTCCTGATTCTGTTTGCATCAATGGTGTTTTGTATTACACAGCAATGCTCAGCGGTTCTTCTTTGGATGGGGATATGATGATAATGTGCTTTGATGTTAGGTCTGAGAAGTTCAGCTTTATTAAAGTCATGGAGCCTTTCATTGGGACAGTGCTCGTACAGTACAATGGTAAACTGGCTTCAATTAGGCCGAGTCATGATTCTTATTCTTTTAGTAGAAAAATCACAAGTTTTGAGATGTGGGTTCTAGATGACATAGGGAAAGAGGAATGGTCCAAGCATATTTATAAACTGCCTCCGAACTGGAGCGATGTAATTGGAGCTGCCACCGTACTCTGTGTAATTGGAGTGACTGATAGAAATGAAATTGTGTTGGCAAAGAAGTCTCTAGACGCCCCTTTCTATGTTTTCTACTACAGTCTCGAAAGGGAAACTATCAAAAGAGTTGAAATCCAAGGAATGGAAGCGTTTAGTAAACACAGAGTTTACACCTTTGTAGACCATGTAGAGGACGTAAAGCTTTTGAAAGGCTACCTCTTAAAGTGATGATCTCATCCTAAGAAGTATCACATGGTCTTAATTAATAATAGGGAGACATTATCTTATCTTCCCGCTGGGTTTCATGTTTTCTATTGTCTATGATGTTACGTATACTCTTGGCCAGTGGTTCATCTACTAAGGACAATGTTTATTGTTAATTATTCTTAAGCCAAAAATGATTCAGTGTTTTTACATCCTGTTTTATCTTAACAAATGACAATGCATCAATAAAAAGGGTGGGTCGCTAGCTAGCATCCTATTCTTGTTCTTCTCTCAATACATTCATGTTTAGTTTAAGTAAAACCCTTATTGGAATGCAGAAACATGCAGATATTCAAAAGCTTTCATGCAGATCTCACACATATTCTGGTTCTCTCTATCTTACTCAATAAAAGTTAAATTTATAATAATTGATTGATATATAGTTTTAATTTTGAATCAATTTATATATATAATTTATATTAATAGTCGGTTTGGTTATCAATTTGGTATATTGGATAATATCTATTTTTTAATTCAGCTATAATATTTTTATTATAAATATAATAAAAATTTGATTAATTTTATTATTTTCATTTCGGTTGGTTGTTGTCTTAGATATGTAAATATATTATAGTTAAATTATGTATAACTGAATATATATTATGCTTAAAATTAAATAAATAATAAACTAAAGTGTTTGATTCAAAATTACATAAATGAAAATAATGATAATATTTTGAAGTCTCATGCATATATATAAATTCTACAAAAGAATTAAATTGTTATTGGTTAATATGCTTTGAGTCAACCTCTATTTATATGTATAAAATCAAATAGATTATCATTATTAATTATTATTATAAAATTATATGTTCTTATTATAGTTAGATTTTTAATTTTCGATATAAATTAGATTAGTCGAATCATTCATGTTGTGAGCATATTGAGTTAAGTATATTTTAAATTAAAATTGAACGACCATATGAACGATGTTTGCTTCATACAATCTGTAATTGGCGCCATTATTGTGCTAAAATTATGCACAAATCGCCGGTAAAAAGAAGCTAATCTGTGAAAGCTCATGACCTCTGGAATAGTAGTAGGTATTGGCCAAGAGGAAACAACAGCTACTTTTTGAGGATCTAACACGAAGGCCTGGTGCAGAAACCACATATCCGAGAAATAAAACCTCTGAAACTCTAAACTCACATTTTTGCTGAGCAATGTAAATCTTTTCACGACGAAGGGCCTGCAAAACCTCATGAAGGTGAAGCAAGTGTTCGTGAACAGTTGAAACTGAAGATGAGAATGTCGTCAAAATAGACGACTACAAATCTGCCGATGAATGGGCGCAGGGCTTGATTCATGACTCGCATAAACGTACTAGGGGCGTTGGAAATCCCGAATGGCATGACGAGCCATTCAAACAAACCTTCCCTTGTTTTGAATGCAGTCTTCCACTCATCCCCAAGTCGAATTCAAGATACAATCAGATCTTGTTTCAAAAATTTGCATCATGTTCCCACTGGTAGAGCCGCACGTAGTGTGTCCCAGCAAGATAAGTCGTCTTGTAACTCTCCTGTCACCTGCACATTGAACTTAGAAAATGATCAGGGCCAGGGGAACACTTATAACGAGAATATGAAACCAAAACACCTACCGTGGAGCTTATATGCATAACTTGGGAGTAACGTTCGATGTTCATGAGTTTCTCAACATCGTTGAAGACGAGATCGTTGCGACCGAGATCGACCAGCATGATGTGTTCAGCACATTGCTTCTCATTCACATCGGATTTCTTTTTTATCGACTTTACATTTTTTTTTTCTATATCTGTAAAAGTAATTTCTACTAACCTATTTGGGCTTTTTATTATAATGTAATGGGCCGAGAAGAGAAAAAAGAAACCATATGTTTTGTCCTAAACGTTACGTGTCTTTTTGGTTTTGCTTCTCACTTCTCTCTGGTATTTCATTCTCATTAGGGTTTTGAGCTCTGCGGCCATGAGTACACAGCTGCAAAAGGTCTCGAAGTATCGGCTTGACGCCGGCGAAAACTCATCGCATATCCCAGATGATCTCATCTTCGAGATACTCTTGAGATTGCCTGTTAAATGTATAGCCAGGTGTCGATGCGTATCGAAACACTGGGATTCCATAATAGCTCGTCAAGATTTCGCGGATCAGTACTTGAAAAGATCATCTTCTCGTCCTCAGCTCTTGTTCGCCTGCGTAGAAGACGGCAAGGTATACTTCTTTTCCGCACCTCAGAATCAAGAAGATAACAACTCGTCGTCTACGATAACCGCCAGTTATCATATGAGTCTCCCTGAGGCTGGTGTCAGATACATAGATAGTCCTATCAATGGTTTGGTATGTATTAAAGATGAATGTGTCTTAAAAGGGATGGAAACTCCAGTGGCGGGGTGGGTGATATGTAACCCTAGCACCGGACAGTCCTTTACTTTACCTAGCATCAAGACAACGCACATGAATTCTGCTGTGAGAAGCTTTTTTGGGTATGATCCGATCGAAAAGCAGTTCAAGATATTATTAATGACATTTGCACGTGACATAAGATATGGCTATCCCATCTCTAACTCTAAGACGCACCAAGTTATGACGTTAAAAGCTGGGAAACTCTCATGGAGAATGATTGAATGTGGCGTGCCTCATTTACCTTGTTCTAATTCTGTTTGCATCAATGGTGTTTTGTATTACACAGCAATGCTCGACCGTTCTTCTTTGGATGGGATCATGTGCTTTGATGTTAGGTCTGAGAAGTACAGCTGTATTAAAGTCTTGGAATCTTTCAATGGGGCAGTGCTGGTAAAGTACAATGGTAAACTGGCTTCAATTAGGCCGAGTCATGGGCGTTATTATTTTAGTAGAAAAATCACAAGTTTTGAGATGTGGGTTCTAGATGACATAGAGAAAGAGGAATGGTCCAAGCATATTTATAAACTGCCTCCGAACTGGAGTGATGTAATTGGAGCTGCCGCCTTACTCTGTGTTGGAGTGACTGATAGAAATGAAGTTGTGTTGGCAAAGGAGTCTCTAGACGCCCCTTTCTATGTTTTCTACTTCAGTCTCGAAAGGGAAACTATCAAAAGAGTTGAAATCCAAGGAATGGAAGCGTTTCGTACACACAGAGTTTACACCTTTGTAGACCATGTAGAGGACGTT